GGATTTGCTATTGTCATTTTCTGGTGTCTAGGTCAGGTGACCTGTTCCAGTTTCATTCAATTTTTCAACATCGCACTGGTTAGACACAACAGAGTGGTTTGCTAGACATATGAGAGTTAAATGGAGGCAAGACCAGTTAAAGATTGTAGATTTCAATCCCAGATAGGCATTAGTGAACCAGATGGTTTAATGGTCACCATTAGACTAATGTTCAATTCCAAGTTTATTAAGCAAATTTAAATTCCACTATCTGCTGTGACAGGGTTTGAACCAAGGTTCCAAGAGCATTAGCTTGGTTTCAGTGTTTTATACTACACCACCACATCCTTCAGTGTTGATAATCTCCTCTAAACTGCTCAATGTCTGAAGCTTCACCTTCAAAGTGTTTGTGTTTTTCAACCCAAGACTCACAATGTTGATGCACTGCTGACTAGATTTTCAACAACCCCAGGTTGATCTTTAAGATTCCTGTTGATTTGCAAATGCCTAATACAGGATGAGTTGAGAATTCAACCATTGATTGTTATATACTATACATGTTTTCCAATTCCCAGTTTGATTGACCTAGTTACTGTGTCTTTCATACAAAGGGAAACTGCTATCATTATGAAAAACAGTGAAAAACAAATACAATTTAATACACATGCTCATTGAGCTGGCTTGTTTTTGTTCAGACATTTCGTCACCATGCGAGGTGACATCATCAGCGGAGCCTCCAATGAAGCGATGTTATTCTACTCCGCTTAGAATTTATACTGTCCAGTCTGTTATGGTGAGTACTGTCATTTCCGGTTTTGATCTTGGCTTGGTCAAGCCAAACATAGACACGCATGGGATTTCCTAGAGGCATGGTTCTCCACCCATATTTCAATCAACAAACATAGAGAATTGGATCCCATATATAAACCCATACAGATCAAAACTGGAAATGACAGTACTCACCATAACGGACCGGACGGTGTAAATTCCAAGTGGAGTAGAATAACATTGCTTTATTGGAGGCTCCGCTGATGATGTCACCTGGCATGGTGACGAAACATCTGAATGAAAACAAGCCAGCTCGGCAAGCAAGTCAACAACCTCATCCACAACCCGAGCTACAGATCTTTGCCAATACTTTATTTAATACACATTTCTAACGAGCTTGAATTCATTTGGTGACACATAATAGGGTCCCTGAGATCGAGGAATACATTCAGTTTAAAATGCACATGTGTAGTAATCATTATTAAAGATAATGTTAACCCTTTACTTCACAGAGTATAAGATGTTCAGCAGATACTTCCTCTTCTTTCCCCAGTCATAGTCGTAGGGTCATAAAGTCATACAGCATGGAAACAGACCCTTTGGTCCAACCAGTACATGCAGAACATAATACCAATATAAAGTAGTCCCACCTACTTTCCCGGCCCATATCCCTCTAAACCTTTCCTATTCATGTATCTATCCAAATGTCTTTTAAACATTGCAATGGTACCCGCATCCACCACTTCCTCAGGGAGTTCATTCCACATGCAAACCATCCTCTGTGTAAATTGCAGTGATATCACCATCCTGACTGATATTAGTTAACTCAGGTCCATCCACTTGGTGCTTGATCAAAACCCTTTATGATTTCAAACTATTAAATCTCTCCTAAACCTCTCTGCTTTAAGAATATCTCATTTTGCTATTTTCTCAATGAAATTATAGTCTCACATACCTTCTAATATGCAAATAGTAAGTATCCTCTCTAAGGCTTGACATCCTTATTAACGCTATACTTCTTACCATAAATGTCCAACTTTGACCTCAATATGGTCAGTGCTGGTGAGTACAGAAACCTACAAAGGCCTCTACATAACAGATTTATAAGTGCTGAGTAGCACTAATTTGAATTGTCAGGGTTTTCTCCTTTTGTGTTCCAACATTATTTCCTTAACAAATGTCAACTAGATGTCATCAGGCCTCCCAAGGTACTGTGTGATACACATCAAATAAAATTACCTTTCAAAATTATTAGATTCCTCAGAGAACGTGCCAATAAAAGTGGTAGTAAATTGCAGGTATAATCACAGATAAGTGAGCAGAATGAGTTATTTGAACAACATCACTGATATTGCAGATTGTTTAGTTTCTCATGGGCGCAGCATTCTTGCTGTAAAATTACATTTGTAACAACCTGACTTAAAGTAACTAAATTTATTAAAACTGCTTCACATCATAATTAGCTTCTTTAATTATTCTACAATAAGGTAAAAATAGCTCAAATTTGCTTCAATGTGCAATTTTACATTGTTCAAATGGTTCACAAATAATTTTTGCTGAAGAATTATGAACTAAATGGGTTGAATTTTATGGAGTTGTTGGCTAAAGAATAAGTGATTATCTTTTCTGGGGAAAGCCTACCCACCCATGAGGTAGTTAGGTAGCTGAGAGATTAACAGTAGCCCTTTCTCTCACTGAATAGGAAAAACACCTGGAGCAATCCAGGCCATGGTGGGAAGTGTTTTTACAGAGTGGTGATTTTGATAGCCAGGACAAGGAGTTTGCTCTTACCTTATCCCCTGTTGCTAACGAAGAGTCTCTCAATCAGTGCCTTTGAAGGTCGGACACACCTTTACTTCTCTTCAGTTCCTCGCAGACCACAAGCAGCCTGCATTGGTTACTTGGTAACAGACACACCTGGAGTTAGGTTCATACCAGCCATGGTCAATATTTGTCCTGAATTAGATGTGGGGCAGGAAGGTTGACCATGGATTTTCCTGCCCAGGACAAAATTGTGGTGAAGGCAGGAGGTTGTGGTCCACACCATCTTCTGCCCAATTAAGTACACTCTCCATACGCAAACTCACCATTAGAGAGGGCAAAGGATTGGATAGAAGTTTGGCAAAAGATATGAAGCCACTGGAGTTGCCTTGAATTATCCTCCATTATTGTGGCAAATTTTCTTTTTACAAAGTAGTGTTGGGTAACGTGAAGCAGAAAATCTAGCTCATCAGCTCCTGGAGGAGTAGGCATGTCTCAACAGTCATTGCAATATCCCTATAAAAGGGAGAATAGAGAGAATCCATTGATCTAGGAAGGTGGGAGGAGGAATGTATTGTTACACTCTATTGCAGTGCCACCCAATCAAGCAAATACTACATTAAATTTATTAATCTCACAAACCAAGAAGGAGCAGAGGTATAATAAAGGTCTGCTCCATTTAACTGAAGTGAGTAACACAATCCACTTTGATACAAATTCAATTTGCATGTTTCAAAACATACAACCACAAATTAAATCAGTTTATCTGCATGAATAACTTGTATGGTTTCTATTTCCTTCTCTCTCCCTATTGACAACATATAGAGAAGAAATCTAAGACATAAAGCTTAAACAGCTTAAACAGTATGGTATAAAAACAAAGTTGCAGCAAGAACTCAGCAGGTCTGGCAGCATCTGTGAAGCTGCTGAGCTTTTCCAGCAACTTTGCTTTTGTTCCTGCTTTACAGCATCTGCAGTTCTTTCGGTTTTTAAACAGTGTGGTGCTCAGTAAGGTGGCACTTGGCATTGCTTTTATAACTCTGTCTTTTGATTATGTTGGAAATATTGACCGTAGCAGGTGGGGGGTGAGTGACCATCCTTCAAAGGGACAACTGCCTTGATGGCAGTAAATTAAATGCAGCTGCTGGTCCCACAAACTATCGGTGCATGTTGCCCCTTGCTTTCTGGCACATTGTCAGGACCCCAGCCACATGCAAATGTTCAGATCATGGGGAAATCAAAGGCAGACTTTTTGGTAATTGAAGCAATGGGGGTGATGTGGATTATTGATACTGTGTCTGTAAATGCAATTTGGATTCAAAATAGATACAATTGTGCTTGTATGAATGTGTGTCTTTATATGTCAATTAAAGCTGTACTTTTAACAAATTGCAAATCTAGCAGCAACCTGACAAAAGCAGCAAGAGGAAATGTTAAATTTCTGCTTGGGGAAACCATATAAGTGGAAAACAATGGAAATCTGAGTCTAAACCTATATACACTGTAAAGACCATGTAGTTTTATATTGGTGTTCTCTAAAAAAAAAACTAGCAATTTTCCAGGATGACTGCATATTTTGAAAGGAATTTGATACCTATTGTGAATTCTATTTGTGACGTTGTGGGTTCCAGCAATGTGAAAACGAACTGAAGCTCAGCAGCTGATTGGTTTGTGGAAGAGGGACCAAATACCAATGACAAAGGTCCTTTGCCTGCCAGTTTGCACCGTGTGTAAGTGTAGTGCTGGGCTTAAAAATAATATCTTCAAACCAGACCATTAAGTGTTAATCGTTAAGGGTTAATAGCTCGTGGCAATGAGCAATTGAAGCAAAATGGAAAAATACATGAAAATAGGCCTGGTGCAAAAAAGCATGCCTGTTTTGGCTATGAGGTAATAGCATAACCTGATTATCTGTGGAAATTTTTTTTACTGCACTTAGCACAGACTCACCTGGAGATGTTTTCAACTTATTTTCTGCACAATAGAATGTTTGGAAAAAATCTTTGAAAGTATTACAAGCTGGAAATTCAGCATATAATCTTAGATTCAGAATAGTATAAATATCAAGGACTTTTCCCTGCTTGTTGAAATTTTCAACATCGGCCAGAGGTTCGTGAAACTAGTGCCATAGAATCTGAGATAGAGTTTCAAATGCCACCAGCGCAAAAGTCCTCGACAGATAGTAGGCAGTAGTGAGACTCTCTTGTTTGTATATATGTCTATATTATGTAGTTCAAAATAATTGATACAGTTTGCATATATCTCTAGTATATATTAAGTCGATTAAGCTAATAAATTTGCTTCATACTAACATGCACGTGTCTTCTTGTATTCATTTTGATCAGATCATAAAGAACCTATTAGGCACTTTCAGCTAAACAATACAGCAAAATATAGAGAAGTTAGCAGATCTGGAATGGTCAGAAAGCTCTAATTTTCTCACAGTAAGACACTTAAACCTGAAGAAAGCAAGCTTATCTTCTCTTCAACAGATGTTGCAAGTTGTGAATTTGAATTGGATATGTCAGAAACTATTCATAAATGAATCAGCCACCCTGCGCCTCTTACAAAACAGTGGAAGAATTGAGAAAAAGGAAGAAGAAATCTTTGGATCAGCAAGGACAATCCCAACAGATCTTGTGAAAAAAGACTACAGAACTGTTTTCCCAGTTTTCCATCCAGCTGTGTTTTTTTTTCCCTTGTGTATGTTTGTCTGTCTGTGAGTGTGTAAGTGGGAGTTTATAAAGTGTTTAGTATTTTAATTTGCAGAGTTTATTTAATTTAACTGTTTACCCAGAGCTAAAATTCAGTGATTATAAATAATGAATCTTGTACAGAAATTTTATCTATGCTTTCTATCAACTTGTTTCAGTAATCAGGAAGTTTAATGATTTTTTTGTATTTCTTTTGGAAAGTTTAACTTCTGTGATGACTCCAGGAATAATGGGACTTAATTTCCAATGTGCTATTTCAGTGAGTCATTATGAAATGTAGTTTTGATTTTTATATGATCCTTTGTCCATCCTGCTTATGAAGGACCTTGGTACATTTTACTGTATTGAAAGGTATAGTGTAAATACAAGTTATCTTCATAGATCACATGCCATACATACTTGTGAAGCAGAAAATTGTAGGAGCCTGTTCTGAAACTTTTTAATCTATTGCACACTTTCTGTAATGCAAATAAATATCTTTTCAGCTTTGTATTGATAATGTGAACAGCATTTCCACTAATTCATCAGAATGATAATAGGTTCTCTGTTGTATAAAACCCAGTAGAGTTGAAACAGATTAGTTCCTATCCATTAGGCTGCTAATGTTTTTTGTTTAATTTCTGTCACATTTTACTGCTAGATTCACATTCGTTCTTATCCATTTAAAGGTCCTGTCCAAATTTTATAAAATTATTATAATTTTTATAAAAATTGAAGAAGGGGGAAATGAGAGTGACATCAAAGCAGCCTTTGACCAACAAAAAGAAAGATGATTCTGAAGAAGGGTCACTGAACCTGAAACATTAACTCTGATTTCTGTCCATAGATACTGCCCGACTGCTGAGTTTTTCCAGTAATTTCTATTTTTGTTTTGGAAGGTGTTTGTGTTTGTTTGACATCAATCATCACAGCTCCTGGATCAGCACCAAGGGTAAATATATCTCATTGGGGCTGGAAAGGAATTTGGATTGGAAGGAAAAAAATCCAGTTTTCATTATCCAAATGAGTATCAAAGATGCAGGTTATATTAATAAAGGTATCTGTTGAGGGACCATGAGATGCTGCGGAATAAATTAAAACATAGAACTGTAATGTTTATCATCTCTAGGTGACTATCTCAGTCACATGCACATTGGCAGAAGATAATTAGGAGTCAAACATGTAGCTCAAAATGTTGTACAAAAGAAAAGGGCTTTTGACTCGTGGGACACAGGCACCAATATTGGGGAAGAAGGGAATTGTACTGGTGAGATGGTTTCACCTGCACTGTGCTGAAATCAGTGTCCTGACGAGTCATATAACCAGGACCTCTAAAGTCATAACTTGGCTACATACAGCTTAAAACTAAATAGTGGAGAGGAGTGTCCAGGGGATGGGAGATTTGGAAAGTTAAAGAGAAAGAACATGGTATTATTTTCTTTAGTGATGTGGGTGATGATAATGAAAGAATGATAGGAAGGGACAAAACATGCAAACATAAAGGTGCACCATCAACTTAGGGAGTAGAGAAAAATGGTATAAAAGACAGAATTAAAGGTTATTTATCTGAATGCATGCAACATTTATAACTAGATGGATGAGTTGCTACTAAAAACAGATATCAATGAATAAGTGATAATATGACACTCATCACAAGGACATGGGGCTGGGTTTTACATGGTAGGTAGAGAGGAAGCAATAGGACTTTACCATACATCTCATCCCTTTCTCCTCATTGGAAGAAAGAAAAACAGCTCTACAACAATAACATGTGCGGATTGCATAGACAGGGTTGAATTTCCTCCCCGCAATGAACACAAAGCCCAAGCCACAAGAGCTGCCAACCATTCTGATTCGCTATAGTAGGCCATTCAGCCCTCTGAGCCTACTCCACCATTCATTATGATTCTGGCTGTTCCTGATTTTCCCCCACAGCCTTTGATCCCTTTAGATCCAAGTGCTATACCCAACTCCTTCTTGACTCCTGGCCTTGTTTACTTTTTGTGGTAGTGAATTCCACAGGCTTACCACACTCTGCGCGGAGAAATATCTTCTCACTCAGTTTTAATTGGTTTACACGTAATCCTTAAACAGTAATGCATGTTTCTAGACTCCCACAACGTTGGAAACATGCATTCTGCATCTGCCCTGTCTAGTCTGCTAGAATTTTATAGGTTTCTATGAGATCCCCCCTCATTTTTCTGAACTCCAATGAATATAATCTTAACCAGTTCAACCTCTCCTCAAAAGTCAATCCTGCCATCCCAGGACTCAGTCTGACAAACCTTCCCCGCACTCACTCTACAGCAAGCATGTCTTTTCTCAGATAAGGAGACCAAACTGCACACAGTTCAGGTGTGGTCTCACCAATGCCCTGTACAATTGTAGCAAGACATTCCTGCCTCTGTGCTCGAATTCCCCCTGCTACAAAGGCCAAAATGCCTCCTTTACTGCCTGCTGCATGTGCATGCTGACTTTCAGTGATTAGTGTATGAGAACACCCAGGTCTTGTTGCACATTCTCCTCTCAATTTGTAGCCATTCAGATAATAATCTGCTTTCCTGTTTTTGCTACCAAAGTGGGTAATCTTACATTTATCCACATTATCTGCATCTGCCATGTGTTAACCCGCTCACTCAGCTTGCCCAAATCACACTGAAGCTTAGAATCATTGAATCCTTACCACGTGGAAGCAGGCCATTCAGCCCATTGAGTCCTCACCAACCCTCCAAAGAGCATCCCACCCAAATCCTATCACCTACATTTTCCATGGCTAAACCACCTAGCCTGAACATCCTGGATACGATAAACAATTTTAGCATGGCCAATCCACCTAACCTTCACATCTTTGGACAGTAGGAGGAAACCCATGCAGGCATAGGAAGAATGTGCAAATTCCACACAGACAGTCAACTGAGGCTGGAATCAAACCCAGGTCTCTGGCACTGTAAGGTGGTAATGCTAACCACTGAGCCAGCATGCCGCATCTCTCCATCCTCCTCACAGCTCACCCTCCCACCCAACTTTGTGTCATCTGCAAATTTAGGGATACTACATTTAGTTACCTCAGCTAAATCATTAATATATAATGTGAATAGTTGGGGTCCTAGCACAGATCCCTGTGGTACCCTCAAGTCACTAATCTCTATTTGGAAAAAGACCCATTGATTTCTATTCTTTATTCCCTCACGACATATTAATCCTGTCATCCTTTGTGAACACAGAACCAATGTTCCCTGTTTCTGACTGTAAGGGACCTACATTTGACTTCATTCATCTTTTTCTCAGTCTTCATTGTTGAAGATGCAAAAAGCATCCCAAGAAGTGTAGAAACGCAGGGGGCAAAAAAGAGGGAAGAACTTATAACAGTCACAATTACTAGGAAAAAGGTATTAAGAAAAGTTATATAATTAAAGTCTAACAAGTCAACCAATATCTGATGGCCTATGTATTAGGGCCTTAATGGATGTGACTGCTGAAAAAATGGATATATTGGTTGTACCCTTCCAAAATGGCTTACACCCTGGAAAAGGTGGATTGGAATACCTCAATGTCAAAATCGCAATTGAAGAAAGAAGGGAGACAGAAGGCAGGAAATGGTGGAACGTTAGCAGAACAACTGTCACAGGAAACACTGAAATTCATTATTAAAGAAGTAATGGCAAGATGTTTAGAAAATCATAATACTTTCAAGCAGTCAATATGGTTTTATGAAAGGGAAAGTGAGTTTAACAGATTTGTTATGAGGATAAAAAGAGTCAGCAAATCGGTATAGATAGGTTGAATGAATGGACAAAGAATTAGCAAATGAAGTTGAGTGTTGAAAATTGTGAGGTTGTTTGTTCCATGAGCTCTACCTTTCCGCACAAGTTTATCGCATGGCACTGTATTGAATGCCTTTGAAATCTCATCAATATCGCATCAACAGCAATTTCCTCGTTAACTGTTACCTCTCTAAATAATTCAAGCAAATTGGTTAGACTGGATTTCCCCTTAATTAGTCCATGATGTCTCCCCTGAATTAATCTATACTTTTCCATATGAGTGCCAGACACATGTTGAATTATTGCTCCTGGAAGTTTCTCCACCGCTGAAGTTAAACTGACTAGTCTGTAATTTTCAGGCTTATATTTATAATCTGTTTTCTTGAACAAGGGTGTAATGTTTACTATTCTTCAACCCTGTCCACCCCTGAGTCCAAAGAAGACTGAAAATGTATTGTTAGTGTGCCTTGATTTCCATTGTCCCTTCTGCTAATATCCTTGGGTACATCTCATCCATTTCTGGTGTGTTATCAACATCAAATATTGACAACTTATCTCCTCTTCCTTATCAATTTAAATCCCTTTTAGTGACTGGGTTTCCTCCTCTGTCACCACGACCTGGGCTGCATCTGCCTCATGGATAGAAAGATGCAAAGTATTTATTCGGCATCTATGCCATGCCTCTTGCCACCTTGTCCCAATCCCTTTTTTTGGCTCCTAATCGGCCCTACTCCTCATTTCACCATCCTTTGACTATTTAAAGAAGACTTTGAGGTTTTCCTGTTTGTTAGATGCCTGTCCCTTTTCACTTTTCATATTTGTTTTTTGAATAATCCATTCCTGCTCCTATTCTTTATAAACATATGATCTTAAAGTTCCTATCAGGGAGCTGAAATGATACAGATCCCCATAATTTATCTTCTATCCCTCAACTTCACAATGCAGTTCCACATTCCCACCTCCAACCGCATTCAGAAGCCGGTAAAATCTGGCCACTATTTCAGGTTGGTGACCTTTCACCAGAAAGATGAATTTTAAATTTCCAGATTATTTTTATTTGGAAGTTCATTGGCCTGACACATTAACACTTGTTTCTATGACCACAAATGTGAGGTGGTGGTGTATATGGAACATAGAACATAGAACAGTACAGCACAGGACAGGCCCTTCGGCCCACGATGTTGTGCCGAACTGTTGCCCTAAACCTAAGGTCTAGCTAACCTCCACCCCTACCTTATCCATATGCCTATCTAATAGCCGCTTAAATGCCCCTAATAAGGCCGACTCCACTACCCTCTCCGGCAATGCATTCCACGCCCCTACCACTCTC